TTTGGGAGGTGCTTTGGAGAGGAGCCCTCCAGGCTGCTGGTATGTACAAGGACAAGTGCTATCCAACCCCAGGGGAACGGGCCAGGGACCATCGGAAGTTACGGATGTCATTCCTGGGAGAGCGACCCCAGGAGCAACGGGTGACCGAATTGGACAGGCTGGTCCAGCAGGAGATAGAGCTGGACAACCGATATCGGGCTCTGCAATGGTACACAGAGCAGGAATATTTCGGGGTGACAACAGAATGCTCTCCGGAGGGACATGACTTTGGTGGCCCTGGATTGCTGTGGGAGAGCCTTACAGATCATTTTGTGTTTGGTGATGAAGGAGAACCTACCCTGGAGGACCTGCGAGAAGACAGAGAGGCTATGTTCGGTCTCACAGGGGTCTCAGAGCTTGAACCAGATCTGGAATACCTGCTGATGAAAGAACAGGATCTGGAAAGGGCATACAGGCAACTGCTAAGACATGTTCAGCAGCATGCCCAAGAATCGGCAGTGGAAATTCCAGAGACTGGGGATTTGATAGACTTCTCTGCTGAGGAAAAACAACCTGGTGAGCCTCCAAAAGAGCTGACAACAGGGCCAAACATTACTGAACCCTGCCCAGCACTGGTAACATCTTCTGGGTTCCACGGACAAGAGATGGTGAACCCCTATCCCCAGACACCAGTTCCAGAGACTGGGGATCTGATTGACTTTTCTGCTGAGGAGGAACCAGCCGGCGAGCCTCCAGCAGAAGAGCTGGTATCAGGGCATGGCGTGGTTGACCTCTGCCCACAACAATCAGCACCGCAGGAGCTACAGGAAGAGGATGCAATCGGCACCTCACAACGGCAGCTTGAGCTGATCCATGGATGGGACTTCGTCTCTCCACTGACACAACCCCAGAAAAGAGGTCTGGCATTGGGACAGGAGGAGGTCAGCTGTACTTTGTGAACACTGGGGGGTGTCCATCAAGTCAGAGTGGATGAGACTGCAGTCCCCACCTGGATACCCCAGGGATGCTGGGCAGTCGGTCCTGATCCCCCACCGCATGATGGAGCCGGCCCAGATCCCCCAACGCATGATGCAGCCAGCCCAGCCACCCTGTCTTCTCTCCGGCAACTGAGAGGACTTCAGGGAGAAGGACCAGCCCGTACTTCTCCCCAGTGGCTGAGAGGACATCCCAGGACCAGCCCGTATTCTCCCCAACGACATGAGAAGCAGCCACTTCTCCCCAGCCCAGGAGAAGGACCAGCCCGTACCCCCCAGCGGCTCTTCTCCAGTCCGTACTCCAGCAGGGAGAAGGACTACTTCTCCCCAGCGGCTGAGAGGGACTGAGAGGACTTCAGGGAGAAGGACCAGCCCGTACTTCTCCCCAGCGGCTGAGAGGACTTCAGAGAGGACCATCCGTACTTCTCCCCAGGGCTGAGAAGGACCAGCCCGTACTTCTCCCCAGCGGCTGAGAGGACTTCAGGGCTGAAGGACCAGGGAGAAGGACCCGCCCGTACTTCTCCCCAGCGGCTGAGACTCAGGACCAGCCCGTACAGGGAGAAGGACCAGCCCACTACTTCTCCCCCCGTAGCGGCTGAGAGGACCTCAGGGAGAAGGACCAGCCCGGGAGAAGGACCAGCCCGTACTTCTCCCCAGCGGCTGAGAGGACTCAGGGAGAAGGAGTCCGTACTTCTCTTCAGCGGCTGAGAGGACTTCAGGGAGAAGGACCAGTCCGTACTTCTCCCCAGCGGCTGAGAGGACCTCAGGGAGAAGGACCAGTCCATACTTCTCCCCAGCGGCTGAGAGGACTTCAGGGAGAAGGACCAGCCCGTACTTCTCCCCAGCGGCTGAGAGGACCTCAGGGAGAGAAGGACCAGTCCGTACTTCTCTTCAGCGGCTGAGAGGACTTCAGGGAGAAGGACCAGTCCGTACTTCTCCCCAGCGGTGGGTATTTTCTATGGGAGAGGCAGAGGTTGGCTGGGTGAGTAATGCTTTGTGTGGGACAATTTGTTTGGGGTCCTGTGTGGGTGCCGGCATTGGGGGACTGGAAGTACAGACTAACTTCAGAGTCCATCCGTCTGGGATCTACTCCTGCGTTAGTCTCCTGCCGAAAGGGGAGATATGTGACGGGAGTGACTTTTGGGGGTGGGGGGACCCCTGTCTCAGCTCCCCATGTTCCCATTATGTCTAAGTCACCCTGTGCCTGTTAGGGGTACAGGGTGAAATGTTCTAATATTGGGGTGGGGGGTTGTCCATTGTCTACTGCCATGTGGTTGCCCCATTGTTCTACTGTGTGTCTTGTAGTCCTGTATGGTCAGCGGTGGTGTCCGGGGATCTGTGTTCGGACGGGGAAGCGGGAGTCTAACGGAAATACCCGAGTGCAGTCTGGGTCCGGTTCTGTTACAAGGAGATATTGGGGGGGAAGAAGAGATATTGGGGGGAAGAGGAGATATTGGGGGGAGAGGAGATATGGGGAAAAGAGGAGATATTGGGGGGGGGAAGAATTGGGGAAGATATGGGGGGGGGGAAGAGGAGAAGAGGAATATTGGGGGGGGAGGAGATATTGGGGGAAGAGGAGATAAGAAAAAAGAAGAGGAGATATTGGGGGAAGAGGAGATATGGGGGGGAAGAGGAGATATTGGGGGGGGGGGGAGAAGAGGAGGAGATATTGGGGGAAGAGGAGATATGGGGGGGGGAGAGGAGATATTGGGGGTGGGGGGGGAAGAGGAGAATATTGGGGTGGGGGGAAAAGATATGCCGAGAAATAACCCGGGGAAGAGGAGATATGGAGGAAAAGAAAAAAGGAATATTGGGGGGGGAGAGGAAGATCTGAGATATTGGGGGGGAGATATTGGGGGGGGGAGAGAGATATTGGGGGTGGGGGGAGAGGAGATGATTTTGGGGGAAGAGGAGATAAAGGGGGGGGAGAGGAGATATTGGGGGGAGAGGAGATATTGGGGGGAGAGGAGATATTGAGGGGGAAGAGGAGATATTGGGGGGGGAAAGGAGATATTGGGGGGGAGAGGAGATATTGGGGGGGAAAGAGGAGATGATTAAGGGGGGGAGGGAGATATTGGGGGGGGGGAGGAGATATTGGGGGAGAGAGATATGGGGGGGGGGAAATATGGGGGGGGAGAGGAATATGGGGGGGGGGAGGAATATTTGGGGGTGGGGGGGGGGAGATGATATTGGGGGGGTTCTGTTAAGAGGAGATATTGGGGGAAGAGGAGAGGAGATATGGGGGGGAAGAGGAGATATTGGGGGGGGGGAGGAGATATTGGGGGGGGGAAGAGGAGATATTGGGGGGGGAAGAGGAGATATATTTGGGGGGGGAGAGGAGATATTGGGGGGGGGAGAGGAGAGATTGAGGGGGGAGAGGAGATATTGGGGGGGAGATATTGGGGGGAGGAGAGAGATATTGGGGGGGAGGAGATATATTGTGGGGGGGGAGGAGGAGATATTGGGGGGGGAGAGATAGAGATTGGGGGGAGAGGAGATATTGGGGGGAAGAGGAAGATAAGAGGAGATATTGAAGAGGATATATGGGGGGAAGAGGAGATATTGGGGGGGGAGAGGAGATACTGGTGGGGGGAAGAGGAGATATGGGGGGGGAGAGGAGATATTGGGGGGGGAGATATTGGGGGGGGGAGAGGGAGATATTGGGGGGAGAGGAGATATTGGGGGGGAAGAGGAGTTATGGGGGGGAAGATGAGATATTGGGGGGAGAGGAGATATTGGGGGGGGGGAGATATTGGGGGGGAGAGGAGATACTGGTGGGGGGAAGAGGAGATATTGGAGGGGAAGAGGAGATACTGGTGGAGGGAGGAGGAGATATTGGGGGGGGAGGAGTTATGGGGGGGAAGATGAGATATTGGGGGGGGAGGAGATATTGGGGGGGGGGGGGGGAGATATTGGGGGGGGAGAGGAGATACTGGTGGGGGGAAGAGGATATCTATTGGGGGGAAAGAGGAGAGGGGAGGGATACGCGCAGGCAGATCTCACGATTGGGGCGACGGAACATACCTGGTGGGGGAGGAGGAGATATTGGGGGGGGAGGGAGTTATGGGGGGGAAGATGAGATATTGGGGGGGGAGGGAGGAGCTGATATTGGGGGGGGGGGGAGATATTGGGGGGGAGAGGAGATTATTATTATTATACAGTATTTATAGTTGGCTCAGCGCTGTACATTACAGAGGGGGACAGAACAATACCAATACAATGTGATACATGAGGGGATCGAGGGCCCTGATCCTGGGAGCTTACAATCTAGGAGGGAGGGGCTGATCCTGGGAGCTTACAATCTAAGAGGGAGGGGCTGATCCTGGGAGCTTACAATCTAGGAGGGAGGGGCTGATCCTGGGAGCTTACAATCTAGGAGGGAGGGGCTGATCCTTGGAGCTTACAATCTAGGAGGGAGGGGACGGTGGCACAGGAGGAGATAGCTGTGGGGGATGGAGTGGTAGGAAGAGTGGAGGAGGTCGGCAGGTTAGCAGGGGGTGGGGTAGGCTTCCCTGAAGAGATGGGTTTTCAGGGTGCGCCATGATACCTCCATGAAGAGGCCCTGTCACCGCTCGCCTTGTACAGACGGTGCAATACTCTGCAGATGGGATTCTGTACAGTGCTGGGCCCGGGGCGGAGCTGTGTAAATGTCAGGACTGGATGGATGGTAGGCCCCTGTGTGGGGATATTCTGTGTATCTGGGGTCACTGTCCCCCCATACATTATATCCTGGTAGAGTGTCAGCTCCTGGGGCCAGGCAGGGCTCCGCGGTCACCATGGCAACCTATAAGAGTCCTGACTTCCCAGAAAAGGAGAACGCTGACTGGTTGCCATGGATGCAGAGTCGGTTGCTATGGCAATGGAATTGTTCCCCTGACACGTCCTGTTTACATCCCGCCATTGGAGGACGAGGAGGCGGGGAAAGGTCACGTGCCGCCGCAGCTCACGTGACTCCCCGGAAGGCTGACAAGTGCGCTCGGGAGTCACGTGACTCCTCCTTCCCGCTGTCAGCTGACTCGGTCTCCGGCCGGAAGCCGGAAGTGTAGCGGGATGTTCGGTTCGGCGGCGGACAGTCTGCTCCGGCAGGCCCGGGAGGTGTCCGGGGATGAGCTGGACAAGTTCTACGGTCGGTGTCGGAGCCTCCTGAGCGCCCCCGGGCCGGAGACGGTGGACATCCTGCGGAGGCTGCAGCTGATCGTAGCCGCCAGTAGAGGGCGCCGCCGGCTGGGCTCCCCCCTGGTGGGACAGTTAGTAGAGACTCTGTGGGGGCCCCAGCCTCAGCTCGGGGCCCTGTGTGCCGCCATCTTGTGCCAGCTATGCCCCTCCCCCGAGAGGTGAGCCTGCCCTGGGGCCCCAACCTGCAACCGGGGGGCCCCTTCCTCTCAGTCCTGCTGGCCCAGGCCTCCCATAGCGACCTGATGGACCTGGGGCCCCACCTGTGCCGTGTGCTGGAGTCCCGGGCCCCCGAGGGCCACGTCCTGAGGGCTGCCCTGCCGGCGTTGATGGGGGCTGTGGGGGCCCGCCCGGAGATCCTCCAGGAGGAGAACGTCAACGCCGTCAACAAGAAGATGGCCGACTGGCTGCGCTACGCCTCTCTCCACCAGGGGGGCCCCGTGGCCCCCACCAGCTTCTTCTCCAGCCCCCGCACCAAGCAGCCCGGCGCCATCTGGGAGGTGGACGGGACGGCCTCCAGCGACTTCTTCACCGTCCTCAGCGGGAGCCCCAACCTGAGCGAGGAGCAATGGATGAACATCCAGGGGTTCTCCGTCCTCCGCCACTGGCTCCTCCTCTACGGAGCGGCGGGGGGGCGGGGCCAGAAGACAAGTCAGAGGTGGAGGGCTCCGTCATCTCCATGGTGTCCGCCTCCTCCACCTCCAGCCGCCTCCTCCCGCCCCGGGAACGCCTGAGGGAGAAGAGCTTCGAGTATTGCCTGAGGGTCCTGGAGCAATGCAACCGCAAGCCGGTGAGAAGAGCCGACTTGGACCTCCAGAAGTCCTGCGTGGTGGAGGCCGTCGGCCTCATCGACCTCCTGTGTAAGCAGGACGTGTCCTTCCTCTACCGGACTCTTCCCCTCCTCAAGGTCCTCCACGGCCGCCTATGCACCGAGCCCTCGCTGGCGCCCGCCCTGCTGCCCGTCGCCCAGTTCTACCTCAACCACAGCGAGGCCGCCGCCGTGGAGTCTGAGGCCGTCTACCGCCACCTCTTCACCAGGGTCCCCGCCGACTCCTACCACCAGCCCTCCCTGGCCTTCCAGTTCCTCCGCTTCTGCAGAGCCAACGGAGGCTTCCTGGCCGAGAACGTGGAGGCCTTCCGCTCCGGGTTCCCCAACCTCCTGAAGCTGCTGGCGTGGAACGCCCCGTCGTTGGTGGCAGAGATGGCGGAGCTCCTCCCGCTCCTGTTTAAGGCGGATTCGGCCATCGAGATGCTCCACGCCTTGCTGGACTTGCCGTGTCTGACCGCTGCCATGGAGCTCCAGCAGAACGTTGAGAAGACGGCTCCGGACTCGTCCTCGCTCCCCACCAGCTCCGCCGAGGCGTTCCGTCATCCCTACTACAAGAAGGCGTTCCAGTACCTGCTGAGGTGCGAGACGTGGAGCGGGCCGCCCCCTGAGGACTTCAACCAGCTGCGTATCCTGCTGTCAGACTTGAGCACCTCCCCCCGCGTAGTCCAGTGTGCTCAGGTGGTCCCCGGTCTTCTCCAGCTCTACATCCGCACCGTCGCCACCTTTGCAGACGGCCCTCTGGTCAGCCAGGTGATGCTGACCATCTTGGAGCGGAGCGGCCTCCTCTACGGCTCCTCCACCTTCCAGGCCGAGGTGCATCGGGTGCTGAGCTCCCAGATCCCGCGCCTGTGCCGCCTCCACCCCTCCGTGGTCATCGAGCTTTCCCGAGAGCTGCTGGACTTCTTAAGCACAGTGGGCAACATCCAGAACAAGGAGGCCTTCTTCACCCACGTGGTGTGGGCCATGGGGGAGTACCTGTCCGTGTCCTACGACAAGCGGTGCACCGCGGAGCAGGTCAACAGGTTCTTCGAGGTTCTGGAGGCCTTGTTGTTCGAGATCACACAGCTGCGAGGTTCCTCCAGCGCCCCCATCTCCTCCCCGCGGGTGATCACCGCTCTGATGACAACTCTCACCAAACTGGCCTCCCGCAGCCAGGACCTCATCCCCAGGGTGTCCCTCTACCTGTCCAAGATGAGGTCCTGCGTGCAGAGCTCTGCCATGGTGTCGGTGTACGGGGAGGAGGACAGTGAGCAGATCCTCATACGGGCCACCGAGCTCCTTAACCTCCTGAAGCTGCCCAGCGTGGCTCAGTTCGTGTTGACGCCTCCAGGCGATGTGGGGAAGCCGAGCTTTCACCGGGACCCCTCCTCCTCCCTGCCGCTCGCCATCCGGGACTCCAGCTATCTGCTGCAGAGGGAGAGGATGACGCCGGGCTGACCACACCCCCAATAACAGGCAGTGACATTGGTGAGGGCCACCTTGTATGTCTCAGCCCCTCCTCCTCCCTGCCGCTCGCCATCCGTGCCTCCAGCTATCTGCAGAGGGAGAGGATGACGCCGGGCTGACCACACCCCCAATAACACTCAGTGACATTGAAGAGGGCCACCTTGTATGTCTCAGCCCCTCCTCCTCCTTGCCCCTCGCCATCCGGGCCTCCAGTTATCTGCAGAGGGAGAGGATGACGCCGGGCTGACCACACCCCCAATAACACGCAGTGACATTGAAGAGGGCCACCTTGTATGTCTCAGCCCTCCTCCTCCCTGCCGCTCGCCATCCGTGCCTCCAGTTATCTGCAGAGGGAGAGGATGACACCGAGCTGACCACACCCCCAATAACACGCAGTGACATTGAAGAGGGCCACCTTGTATGTCTCAGCCCCTCCTCCTCCCTGCCACTCGCCATCCGTGCCTCCAGTTATCTGCAGAGGGGAGAGGATGACGCCGGGCTGACCACGCCCCCAATAACACTCAGTGACATTGAAGAGGGCCACCTTGTATGTCTCAGCCCCTCCTCCTCCTTGCCACTCGCCATCCGTGCCTCCAGCTTATCTGTAGAGGGAGAGGATGACGCCGAGCTGACACACCCCCAATAACACGCAGTGACATTGAAGAGGGCCACCTTGTATGTCTCAGCCCCTCCTCCTCCCTGCCCCTCGCCATCCGTGCCTCCAGTTATCTGCAGAGGGAGAGGATGACGCCGGGCTGACCACACCCCCAATAACACGCAGTGACTTTGAAGAGGGCCACCTTGTATGTCTCAGCCCCTCCTCCTCCCTGCCGCTCGCCATCCGTGCCTCCAGTTATCTGCAGAGGGAGAGGATGACGCCGGGCTGACCACACCCCCAGTAACATGCAATTGGTGCGGGCCGCCTTGTATGTCTCAGCCATTCCCCCGGGGAACCTCTGTCTGCAGAGAATATATTTTCCTTACATTAAAGCACTCGAGCAACTGGTTCTTGTTGTGTATTATCCTGTCTCTGGGCAATCGAGGAATCGTCGTCTGCTGAACAGATTCAGGTTTCCTGTCACTTTAAATCGGGGGGGGGGGGGCAAACTCCGGGCCTTCCAGCTGTTGTGGGATTACAAGTCCCATCATGCCTCTGTCTCTTGGACTCCTACTTGTGGCTGTCAAGAGTCTTGCAATACCTCATGAGTCGTATACTTCTGGAACAGCTGGAGGGCTGGAGTTTGCCCACCCCCCTGATTTGAAAAAGTTCGGGCCAAGCTGGCCCAAAGCAGTTATTTTGATGGGGCTGCTGTGACCACCGTATAGGCTGTACATAGCATCAGCTCCAGACAGTAGGTGGCGCTGCGTTTGGTAGCTGTTCGGTTGACTTCCTGTCTGATGCCAGAACAAACGAGAGGCGGGCTGAATGTTTTGTCAGCCATTCGTATTGTAGTAGCATCAGCTCCAGACAGTAGGTGGCGCTGTCTTCTGGAGCAGTATGGGACTTCCTGTCTGATGTCAGAACTAACAAAGAGGCATCATATTGTAGTAGCATTTTCTACACATAGGTGGCGCTGCGTTCTGGAGCCCTATGGGACTTCCTGTCTGATGTCAACTAACAAAGAGGTATCATATTGTAGTAGCATCAGCCTCGTACAGTAGGTGGCGCTGTGTTCTGGCCGCAATACGGGGACCTCCTGTCTGATGTCAGAACTAACAAAGAGGCATCATATTGTAGTAGCATTTTCTACACATAGGTGGCGCTGCGTTCTGGCAGCAACACGGAGACTTCCTGTCTGATGCCAGAACAAACAAAAGGCGGGCTGAGAGTTTTTCAGCCATTCATATTGTAGCATTAGCTCCATACAGTAGGTGGCGCTGCGTTCTGGCAGCAATACGGGGGGACTTATGCAGGCCATAGACGGGGCGAAAATCGGACGTTTTTGTTTTTTTTTTTTTAAAAAAAATGAAAAATCGGTCATTCAGTCGGCCGACGTTACCACCATTGTTAAAAAAAAAAAATCGGCTGATTTTCGTCCCATCTACGGCCGGCAAATATAATAGCGGTGTCCCTGCAGAGAGCTGCGCTATTATATTTGACATTTAAAAGTACAGCGTTTGTAACATTGTATCCATTTGTATCCGAATAGAAACATCTGTATCCGAAATGGATACAAATAGATACAGATGTTCTTTTCTTCCGGGTCACGGCTCATGCACGTTTTTTAATCGGTTAAAAAGATCGGCCGATTTTGCCCATCATTGCCGTGAAAATCGGCCGATGGACAAAATTCGGCCATTTTTTTTTTTTTTTTCCAACAACCTGACGATTAAAAAAAAAAAACGCAAATGGAATGCGAATTGGTCAGCCGTTTTTTCGTGATTTTGACACTGTTTTTTTTTTTTTTTCCAACATGACCGATTAAAAAAAAAACGCAAATGCTACGAATGCGAATTGGTCAGCCGTTTTTCGTGATTTTGACACTTTTTTTTTTTTTTTTTTAAAAAAAAAAACGCCAACATGACCGATTAAAAAATGAAAAAAAAAAAAAACGCAAATGCTACGAATGCGAATTGGTCAGCCGTTTTTACGTGATTTTGACACTGATTTTTTTTTTTTTTTTTTTTTTTCCAACATGACCGATTAAAAAAAAAACGCAAATGCTACGAATGCGAATTTTTCAGCCGTTTTTCGTGATTTTGACACTTTTTTTTTTTTTTTTCCAACATGACCGATTAAAAAAAAAACGCAAATGCTACGAATGCGAATTGGTCAGCCGTTTTTCGTGATTTTGACACTTTTTTTTTTTTTTTCCAACATGACACTTTTTTTTTTTTTTTTTTTTTTGACCAACATGACCGATTAAAAAAAAAAACGCAAATGCTACGAATGCGAATTGGTCAGCCGTTTTTCGTGATTTTGACACTTTTTTTTTTTTTTTTTTTAAAAAAAAACCAACATGACCGATTAAAAAAACCGATTAAAAAAAAAACGCAAATGCTTGCGAATGCGAATTGGTCAGCCGTTTTTCGTGATTTTGACACTTTTTTTTTTTTTTTTTTTTTCCAACATGACCGATTAAAAAAAAAACGCAAATGCTACGAATGCGAATTGGTCAGCCGTTTTTTTTTTGTGTTTTTGATTTTGACACTTTTTTTTTTTTTTTTTTCCAACATGACCGATTAAAAAAAAAAAACGCAAATGCTACGAATGCGAATTGGTCAGCCGTTTTTTTTTTTGATTTTGACACTTTTTTTTTTTTTTTTTTTCCAACATGACCGATTAAAAAAAAAAACGCAAATGCTACGAATGCGAATTTTTTCAGCCGTTTTTTCGTGATTTTGACACTTTTTTTTTTTTTTTTTTTCCAACATGACCGATTAAAAAAAAAAACGCAAATGCTACGAATGCGAATTTTTTTGACACTTTTTTTTTTTTTTTTCCAACATGACCGATTAAAAAAAAAAAAACGATTTTGACACTTTTTTTTTTTTTTTTTTTTCCAACATGACCGATTAAAAAAAAAACGCAAATGCTACGAATGCGAATTGGTCAGCCGTTTTTTTGTGTTTTTGACACTTTTTTTTTTTTTTTTTTTTTTTTCCAACATGACCGATTAAAAAAAAAAAACGCAAATGCTACGAATGCGAATTGGTCAGCCGTTTTTTTTCGTGATTTTGACACTTTTTTTTTTTTTTTTTTTTTCCAACATGACCGATTAAAAAAAAACGCAAATGCTACGAATGCGAATTGGTCAGCCGTTTTTTTTTTTTTCTTTTACCGTGATTTTGACACTTTTTTTTTTTTTTTTTTCCAACATGACCGATTAAAAAAAAAACGCAAATGCTACGAATGCGAATTGGTCAGCCGTTTTTTCGTGATTTTGACACTTTTTTTTTTTTTTTTCCAACATGACCGATTTAAAAAAAAAAAAAAAAAAAAGCGTCAAAATCACGAAAAAACGGCTGACCAATTCGCATTCGTAGCATTTGCGACACGTAGGTGGCGCTGTGTTCTGGCTGCAATACACGTGGACTTGCTGTCTTCTGCCAGAACCAACGAGAGGTGGGCTGAGTGTTTCTCAGCCATTCATATTGTAGTAGCATTGTCTCCAGACAGTAGGTGGCGCTGCGTTCTGGCAGCGGTTTGGGGACCTCCTGTCTGATGCCGGAACAAATGAGAGGCGGGCTGAGTGTTTCTCAGCCATTCATATTATAGTAGCATTGCCTCCAGACAGTAGGTGGCGCTGCGTTCTGGCCGCAATACAGGGACCTTCTGTCTGCTGCCAGAACAAACGAGAGTGTTTCCCAGCCATTCGTATTGTAGTAGCATCAGCCTCGTACAGTAGGTGGCGCTGTGTTCTGGAGCCCTATGGGACTTCCTGTCTGATGTCAGAACTATCAAAGAGGTATCATATTGTAGTAGCATTTTCTACACATAGGTGGCGCTGCGTTCTGGTAGCAACACGGAGACTTCCTGTCTGATGCCAGAACAAACAAAAGGCGGGCTGAGAGTTTTTCAGCCATTCATATTGTAGCATTAGCTCCATACAGTAGGTGGCGCTGCGTTCTGGCAGCAATACGGGGACTTAGGCAGGCCATAGACGGGGCGAAAATCAGACTTTTTTTTTTTATAAATGAAAAATCGGTCATTCAGTCGGCCGACGTTACCACCATTGTTAAAAAAAAAAATCGGCTGATTTTCGTCCCATCTACGGCCGGCAAATATAATAGCGGTGTCCCTGCAGAGAGCTGCGCTATTATATTTGACATTTAAAAGTACAGCGGTTGCAACATTGTATCCATTTGTATCCGAATAGAAACATCTGTATCCGAAATGGATACAAATAGATACAGATGTTCTTTTCTTCCGGGTCACGGCTCATGCACATTTTTTAATCGGTAAAAAGATCGGCCGATTTTTGCCCATCATTGCCGTGAAAATCGGCCGATGGACAAATTCGGCCATTTTTTTTTTTTTTTCCAACATG